AAAAAAAAGGAGATGTTTCAATTTGATTTTATCTGCAGGTTGAATAGGTGTTCAGTGTCTCCTGAGGCCACAGGAGGGCGACGAGCAGAATAATGCACCTCATTAAACTGTTTATTCAATGCAATGAAAATAACGGCTGTCTATAAAAAGTGCATACCGTCTAAACTTATATTTATAAATCATATGATTTTGCAAATTGCATAAACAATTATGAACAAAACAGCATAATGTATTTATGCATAGCTTAATACAAATAGCTAAAGCACCGATCACACGATTGCATTAAAAAACATACGAGATGCAGTGGAATGGAATAAAACCCCAAATTCTCCAGACGTGTTTTCTAAAAGTTGAACCTCTTAACTTTACATGGCTTTCTATTCATCTCTTGTGCGAGACGCGAGTGTTCAGTCGTAGTTGTGCGTCTCAAGAATGCGCCGAATATGCGTTGTGTGAATGACTTGGTTTCGGTTTTAACATAAACAATATCTTCTCCGCATTGAGCTTCTATATTTCTCTAATATTTTGAATGAAAAACGCAGCAGCGGCGCATCTTCAACTGGGTATAGACTAACAAAAACATTAAAATGCAACAACGACACTTACATCCTCACTGTATCTCGCGCGCCGCTGATAAGCTCGCTGACGCACACCTAAAACTCAAATACACTGTTTTTGCATTCGAATGCAAATTTTTATTTTAAATTCAACTAATATTCCTATTTTAGATTCCCAGTGTCCTCATCGCGGGCACTTGTTTCAGCACGTGTTTGTGTTCTGTTGACTGTCACTCATAATGTGCCTTTAAATTTAAAAAAAGTGTGAAACTATCGTGAGCATCGTTTTTTTTTTTTTGCGTTTTGTCTGGCGCACGTCATTTATTACGTAGGAAAAAAGAGCCACAGGTTTCCCGGGTGCAGCAAGTTTAATTTTATTGTTGATTTCTTGCATCTGTTTCCCGAGAAGTGGTTTTGCTCTTTTGAACATGGGATGGAAGCGGTGCTTTGTTTGCGAATGTATTATGCAGTAAATGCTAATGCTGACTCCTGTGTGCTCGCTCACTAACCGGAGAAGGGCTAATGTGTGATTGTGTGGTGGATGGGTGTCACGTGTTTGCTCTGGCTGGACTGATGGTGGCTGCCCACACACGCGAGGCTATCATCAACGGCTGTGTGTTCGTGCATCAGACGCTGCACCAGGTCAGAAGAGCGTCTCGCTCGCAGTCTGATGAGGTGCATACTGCTTTCAGAGCATGCTGTGATGCTTTATTTCTCTGTGTGTGTGTGTTATCATTCATGCAAATTAATTCAACTCTTTTAAATAGATTGCAGCAATTACTATTTTCTCACAGCCTCTAATAAATTACACTTTTTTTTTTTTTAGGTAAGAATCGTGGGAGAATCTTGATCTCTATTTGAGACCAAAAAAATCGTGATTCTCAATTTATCCAGAATCGTGCAGCTCTAGTTTCAGTGCACACTGTGATGCTTTATTTCTCTCTCTGTGTGTGTGTGTGTGTGTGTGTGTGTGTGTGTGTTAGGCTAACAACCGTCTGGCGAAGCGCGGCGGCCGCACTATGGCCATCACCCCGCGACACTACCTGGACTTCATCAACCACTACGCCAACCTGTTCAACGAGAAGCGCAGCGAGCTGGAGGAGCAGCAGATGCATCTGAACGTGGGTCTGCGCAAAATCAAAGAGACCGTCGATCAGGTGCGCGCTTCACACGACATCACGCGTGCAGACGCATGAGCTCGTTTAGCGTTATTAACCGTGTGACGTCACAGGTGGAGGAGCTGCGGCGCGACCTGCGGATCAAGAGTCAGGAGCTGGAGGTCAAGAACGCTGCTGCCAACGACAAGCTGAAGAAGATGGTGAAAGACCAGCAGGAGGCCGAGAAGAAGAAGGCAAGAGTCATCGTTCAGCGCATCGCTTCAGTGCTCTTGTGCCGCTGCTCTCGTAAATAACCTGACTGGTGTTGTTTGGCTTAACAGGTCATGAGTCAGGATATACAGGAAGCAGTTTACAAGCAGCAGGAAGTGATTAAAGTCAAGCAGCTGAGCGTGAAGCAGGATTTGGACCAGGTGGAGCCGGCCGTCATCGAGGCTCAGAACGGTACGGTTCGCTCCGCTCTCCTCTGCGCTTCCACTGCTGGTGCTGCTGTTTGTCCAGATCCACATGTTGAGAGAATCTGCTCACGTTTAATACAATATCAGTTTGAAATCATTTTTCCTGTCAGTTGTGATCCACTAAGGAAATATTCACTGGTTTAAAGGTGCTGTATGTAGGATTGACACCCAGTGGTTGAACTAGGTATTGTAGTCCAAACTCAAAATATTGGAGAGGGTTTTTTTCACCCGGCACGTGACGCACACGCAGGTTGCCAGATTGACTACACCAACAGGAACGAGCGCACATGACGATGAATGAAAAGTGTTTTCCGCCAACTAGCAACCCGGGGTGCCGAAATACAATTGGGTAAACTGGCAGTGGGCGGGTTACACGGAACGGTTTTTCAGATAAACAAGTATGTTGACTTGGCATGTTTCTTAAATATCTGCAAACATATTGTGGTATTTTTATGCTTTAGTAGAGTCAAAGACTTACATACAGCACCTTTAAGAGCCCAGGTGAGGCGTGTATGACCTCAAGAGTTTACACTCCATGTTTGAGAAACATTTGGCTAATAATCAAAACGCCTATTTATACATCTGCTCTAAAACAAGCGCCACCTAGTGGCAGGCAGTGCTTTAACCGTGACTGTCAGTCGCCGGAGACGTCAGTGGATATTTCCTTCAGTTCTTTCTGCTTTCAGCTCTTTCTTGTTTGCCAGCGGTGTTCGGTGGTCTTTTCCCTGCGCTAACCTCTTCCTGTCTTCACTCTTTCCTCTGCTCACGGCTTGTGGCTTGTTTAGCTGTTAAATCGATTAAGAAGCAGCACTTAGTGGAGGTGCGATCGATGGCCAACCCGCCGGCGGCAGTCAAGCTGGCTCTGGAGTCCATCTGTCTGCTGCTGGGCGAGAGCACCACCGACTGGAAGCAGATTCGCTCCATCATAATGCGCGAGAACTTCATCCCCACTATTGTGAACTTTTCTGCTGATGAGATCAGGTGACTGACTGCGGGGTGCGGAGCGGCGGCGTAGCAGCGTGTAAAGAGGACGAGCGTGGTCCTCGTCTCTGCGCGAGACACAAACTTAAAATCAAATTAACTGCTGGCCCAGAATGATGGGCCGGAGCTCTGATTGGCTCGTCACGTGACACGGTTCCTCTTTCCGGCTCCGCGGCCGCTCCGCTCCCCCGCGTGAACCCATGTGCCCTCATGGTCCTAAACCACACACCTCCATTCCCTCTCTAGCGGTCAGCTCGATTAAGAAGCAGCATCTGGTTGAGGTTCGCGCTATGGCCAACCCTCCGGCAGCCGTTAAACTGGCTCTAGAGTCGATCTGCCTCCTGCTGGGGGAGGAAACTAGTGACTGGAAAAAGATCAGACAAGTTATTATCAGAGACAATTTCATCTCCAGCATAGTCAACTTTGTCTCTGAGGACACGAGGTATTATCATCCTTCATACTACTTCCTCTCAGGTATGAGACGGACTCTGTCTGTCATTCAGACGTCACCGCATGGATTCCCAAACCGGGGTTCATGAGTCAATGAAGAGCTGACAATAAAATTGTAAATGTAATGTTAGAATAAATAAACCTTTCAAATAAAACACTAAAAATAGGTTAGATATTCTGTTTAGCTGCATGTCATGTGACCATTAACGGACTGTGAACACGCAAATGTCTTTAGTTATTGAAATTAGGGCTGTCAAGCGATTTTAAAAAGTTTTAATCTAATTAATTACATGTGTGATTATTCGGCACATCATTAATCTTTTGGGGGGTAATTTATCAGCATAAATTGAAGTCATTGTTAAGAAAATTACGATAGACATTGCACAAAGTAGCTTTAGAAAGAAATATTTTGATTCCATATTGAGAATTTTTTTTATTTTAGATTAAAAAAATGAAATGATACTCTAAATAAGAAACTACAAACTCCAGTAGGTGGCAGAAAGTCACGGTCTTAAAAAGTGAGTCATTGATTCATTCATTCAACCAATTCGTTCAAACAGCTGATTCATTCAGAAGCGAAGCAAGTGACTGCCTTTATGAACGAGTCACTGAATCATTGACTCGCTCGATTCACTCAACCTTGGATTCGTTCAGAAATTAATCACTGCTGTGTGTTGTTCAGAGACGCTCAACAGTTCTGCTGTAACTTCGATTGGAACTTTTTGTTTGTGAAATGAGCAATATTGACAATACTGTTTTTAAAATATAACTATTTTGTTTATTGAACTCTGATCAATAAATGCAGGATGACTGATCAATAGACACTGCATCAGGTCTGGGGTTAAATGCGTTAATAATCTTAGTATATTTTTCTCTGCGTCAGCTGGAAAAATCACTGCTGCAGGCCCTGAATGAGGTCAAGGGTCGCATCCTGGATGACGACACCATCATCACCACCCTGGAGAACCTGAAGAAGGAGGCGGCGGAGGTGACCAGGAAAGTGGAGGAAACGGACATCATCATGCAAGAAGTGGAGACGGTGTCTCAGCAGTATCTGTCTCTGTCCTCGGCCTGCAGCAGCATCTACTTCACCATGGAGGCTCTGAACCAGGTCACACGTCTGCAGCGCTCCTCATGCGCTCATCGCTGTGTGTGTGTGTCTGTTAGGGGTGGGCGATATACCGGCAGACACGATTAACACGATTAACCGGCAGAGATTTTGGACTATCGTCTCTATCTAGTGATTTTAAGCTGTTAAAACTCAATCAGCAGTGAAAGAGAACTAATTTGGCTATGTCTATATATTTGGCCACATTGCCCACCCCTAGTCAGAATGAGTGAGTGCGAGAGTGTGTGAGAGTGAGTCTGCGTGCAAGAGTGCGCGTGTGTGTGTGTGTGTGTGTGTGTGTGTGTGTGTGTGTGTGTGTGTGTGTGTGTGCATTTGCGTGTGTGAACTCTGGCTCATGCTGGATCCGTCTCTTTCACAGATGCACTTCCTGTATCAGTACTCGCTGCAGTTCTTCCTGGATATCTACCACACTGTATTATACGAGAACTCCAACCTGAAGAGCGTGAGCGACCACACACAGCGTCTGTCTCACATCACCAAAGACCTGTTCCAGGTGAGGAACGCTGCTTCTGAGGACTGAAGGCCTTTCACGCCAAACGCAAATGTTCAGTTAATAAAAACCCACAGGGAAATACAAAAAAAAACTAATTTTATGCAAACCTGCAATCATTGCCATAATGCAGCACTGAGAGCTTTAGATCCTGAAACCTGCGCTTTCTCCCGTCCAGTTCCGCACGGACATCGCCAGGACGGAGTATCTGTCCAATGCAGACGAGAGGCTGCGCTGGCAGGCCAACTCACTGCCCGCTGACGACCTGTGCACCGAGAACGCCATCATGCTGAAGCGCTTCAACCGGTGAGAGCCGAGACGAGACGGGTGGGTTACTGAAGGACTCTTGCTGATTTCTCACATGTCTGTTGTGTTCTGCAGGTATCCGCTCATCATCGACCCATCAGGTCAGGCCACGGAGTTCATCATGAACGAATATAAAGACAAAAAGATCACCCGCACCAGCTTTTTGGACGATGCCTTCAGGAAGAATTTGGAGAGCGCTCTGAGATTCGGCAACCCTCTGCTGGTGCAGGTACGAGGCCTCATTATTACTGTAGGAACACCATCCGGCTCCGTCCTTCATTTGCTCATTCAAGTCTTTTTTTTTCATTGATTCTCTGTCAGGACGTGGAGAGCTACGACCCCATACTGAACCCGGTGCTCAACCGAGAGGTGCGCAGGACCGGCGGCCGAGTGCTCATCACGCTCGGGGATCAGGACATCGATCTGTCTCCTTCCTTCGTCATCTTCCTCTCTACACGAGACCCCACGGTAATGCTCTTATTGCCCAGATCTCACGTGCTTTAGAAATCATAAATGCTCACAGGTATTTTCCTGATTAATTATGCAGCACAACACACGGTAACGGTTGAATTGTGACGTGTCTTTGCAGGTGGAGTTCCCTCCTGACCTTTGCTCGCGTGTGACCTTCGTGAACTTCACCGTGACCCGCAGCAGCCTGCAGAGCCAGTGTCTCAACGAGGTCCTGAAGGCCGAGCGTCCGGACGTGGACGAGAAGCGATCGGACCTGCTGAAGCTGCAGGGTGAGTGACGGAGAGCGTCACAGGAAGTGCTGTCAACTCATTACAGTGTGTAGAAATTTAAGTGTTTTTGTTGAATCTGCGCAGGTGAGTTCCAGCTGCGTCTGCGTCAGCTGGAGAAATCACTGCTGCAGGCCCTGAATGAGGTCAAGGGTCGCATCCTGGATGACGACACCATCATCACCACCCTGGAGAACCTGAAGAAGGAGGCGGCGGAGGTGACCAGGAAAGTGGAGGAAACCGACATCGTCATGCAAGAAGTGGAGACGGTGTCTCAGCAGTATCTGTCTCTGTCCTCGGCCTGCAGCAGCATCTACTTCACCATGGAGGCTCTGAACCAGGTCACACGTCTGCAGCGCTCCTCATGCGCTCATCGCTGTGTGTGTGTGTGTCTGTTAGGGGTGGGCGATATACCGGCAGACACGATTAACACGATTAACCGGCAGAGATTTTGGACTATCGTCTCTATCTAGTGATTTTAAGCCGTTAAAACTCAATCAGCAGTGAAAGAGAACTAATTTGGCTATGTCTATATATTTGGCCACATTGCCCACCCCTAGTCAGAATGAGTGAGTGCGAGAGTGTGTGAGAGTGAGTCTGCGTGCAAGAGTGCGCGTGTGTGTGTGTGTGTGTGTGTGTGTGTGTGTGTGTGTGCATTTGCGTGTGTGAACTCTGGCTCATGCTGGATCCGTCTCTTTCACAGATGCACTTCCTGTATCAGTACTCGCTGCAGTTCTTCCTGGATATCTACCACACTGTATTATACGAGAACTCCAACCTGAAGAGCGTGAGCGACCACACACAGCGTCTGTCTCACATCACCAAAGACCTGTTCCAGGTGAGGAACGCTGCTTCTGAGGACTGAAGGCCTTTCACGCCAAACGCAAATGTTCAGTTAATAAAAACCCACAGGGAAATACAAAAAAAAACTAATTTTATGCAAACCTGCAATCATTAAATGATGCAGATACAGTCCACCTGACTCTATTTCTAGTATGTTTTCTGCTGAACTTACACCCATTTAACTGTACAAGTAACCGCAGATTAGTTAAAGCAACTGTATGTATTTTTGTGACTTTAGAGCCCCCTACAGTTGAGTGGAATAATTACAGTGGATCGGTGCACATGTGCATTTGTTGCTGCTGTAAATAGTTTTGTACCCGCTCACCAAACTTACACACTCCCAGAACAGATGTTTGGGAAAGAATCGGACGCCATTCACCATATTAGAAGTATCATAACGATTTAAAGAACTTAGTTGATTTAACTGTAGTAGAATGTCACATTGCTGAAATTATGCATTGTGATGTTCTTTGTTTTGCATCGCCTTTGTTGTTAAGGGCCATTGTTTAGGAAATATTTAGTAACGTGTGGTGGTTTTTCTGTTTAGGTGGCGTTTAACCGAGTCGCTCGAGGCATGCTGCATCAGGACCACGTCACGTTTGCCATGCTGCTCTCACGAATCAACCTGAAGGGCATGACCAGGTACAAAGCTTTCAGATTTCACAAATGCACTTTCTTCTATAAGGGAGTTAATCTCCACTTGAATTCAGTGTTCTTCTTAATATCCTCCTCGTCCTTCATTAGTCGTGTAATAAGTTTCCCATGAACTTCACGTGTAGTGCGTTTGAATCGGATGACGCTCTTGGTTTCTCCGTGTAAATGAAGCTTAGGCCTGTGATCGACTAGTGAGACGCTGAACAGACACACATGAGCTAGTGGATGGAGATCAGAGCTGTTTGATTTCTGAGGATGTGCAGCTCAGATGTTTCCTCTCGTGTTTCTCAGCGAGCCGTCATTCGACGCAGAGTTCCAGCACTTCTTGCGTGGGAAAGAGATCGTGTTGAGGGGGACGACGGTGCCGAAAGTCAAGGGTTTGAGCAGCGAGCAGTCCGAAGCCATGGTGCGCCTCAGCCGTCTGCCTGCGTTTAAAGACCTGGTGGCCAAAGTGCAGGCCGACGAGGTGAGCGTCTCTCGTCTGTCTGTCCTGTACGCGTCTGTTCTTCACCGCAGAGCATCTGAATGTACAATGCCTTTCTGTCCTCCAGCAATTCTTCATGTGGATCGAGAGCAACTCGCCGGAGCTGTCAGTGCCATATCTGTGGACCGAAGAGAAGACGTCCAGTGAGTACAATGCATTTCCACACGCAGCTGCCTGTGAGAGACTGCAGGACTGACTCGTGTTTGTTGATGTTTGTCCTCAGCTCTGATCGGTCAGGCCGTCCACCAGCTGCTGCTGATCCAGGCGTTCAGACCCGACCGTCTGCTGGCCATGACACACATCTTCGTGTCTAAAGTCATGGGAGAAAACTTCATGGCCATCATCGAACAGCCGCTGGACCTGGCTAACATCGTGGACAGTGAGGTAGGGATGCGTGTCTGTGGTGTGCTGACGCTGTGATGCTGCGGATGCTGCATTAGTGCTTGTGTGTGCAGGTGAAGCCGGGGACGCCGGTGCTGATGTGCTCCGTGCCCGGATACGATGCCAGCGGATTGGTGCGGGATCTCGCAGCTGAGCAGAACAAACACATCACCTCCATTTCCATCGGTACGTACACAACCAGTGTTGGGAAATTACTTTTTCGACCAACTAGTAAAGTAATGAAAAAGAAGCTCTTCCTTCAGCCTGAGATTATTCATTTCACTTTTGGTGTGAAAGGGCCTTTACAGTTGCCAAGAAAATTACTTTTGGGTTGTTTGTTATTAAAAAAACTAATAACCAAGCGCAGCCCAGGTGACAAAAAATAACGCATAAGTAATGTAATGCATAACTTTAATGTAATTAACATAACGATTAATCGCATCCAAAATAAAAGTTTTTGTTTACGTAATAAATACACACAGTACACACACGTATATTTTGTATATATCTATATATATATATATACTGTATGTGTGTATATATATTTTGAAAATAATTACGTGTATATATTTATTCATATCATTTATATTATATATAAATATATTTAATATATAAACATCATATATTTTTCTTAAATATATACATACATGTGTGTTTATTTATATATACACATAAGTACACACACATACTATGTAAACACTTTTGTATATATCTATATATATATATATACTGTATGTGTGTATATATATTTTGAAAATAATTACGTGTATATATTTATTCATATCATTTATATTATATATAAATATATTTAATATATAAACATCATATATTTTTCTTAAATGTATACATACATGTGTGTTTATTTATATATACACATAAGTACACACACATACTATGTAAACACAAACTTTTATTTTGGATGCGATTAATCGTTGCCCATAGGGATATTCATTTCGGTTATTTTTCCTAACCGACGCTTGTTAACCGATTATTAACCGTTAACCGACAAGATTATTTTAATTAAATTAGAAAGGATAAGTGCCTGTGACCCATTAAAAAATACTAACATTTGTTTCCCGGGGATTAATTTTACATTAGCAGCAAACAACAGAACATGAGGATTCACTGGTCTTCATATCACATCACGCACCTGCAGCGCTTCTGCCAGCGGACAAAAACATCATAAAGCTAGGCTATATACTGTATATAACATAAATAGGCCTATACGAGAAATATATTTTTACTTGAATAATAAATTAAGAAAACGAAAGAAAAACTGCAACAAGTAGCCTAGTATGCAGAGTTTGGGTTCATTGTTGTGCTGCGCGAAAGGAGACCAGACGGCAGAAAGCGGTGTC